CATGTTATATACAATATCAAATAAAGAAATGATGCTTACCTATGAGGGGAAACCCCCCCAAAAAAAAATAAAATAAATAATATTAGTTATACTGTATTATACTATTTATATTAACAAAAACAATATTAATAAGTAGTAAAAAACTGAAGAAATAAATATTTAAGTCAAATAAAAAGTTTTCTTAAAAATATTATTATTATTATTTTTTTTTAAGACTAAGTTGTGATATACACATAGATTTTATTGATGTTTCAATTACAATCACAATTATCTATACGTGAACAGTCTATTAGCTATTGCTAATGTTAATCTTCACTACTTATTCTTTTTATCAGAATACCAACTTACACCTGGAGATAGGTCCATATCCTAGCTTTTACCACTATGTAATAGTCCTATAACTACCTAGATAAGTACCTATCATATTATATCTTCACTATGCACATGCCACATATAATAGTTGAAACCTTTGACACAAATATATACTTACTAGTGAATGTTCCAGTTTGACCACTAATTGACATTAACTATCAAATTTAGAGGCCACTTTGGCCAAATGGAACATGACTTCTTAAGAGACTTTTCCTTAAACTTCTAATAGATACTCCAGACAGGCCAATTGATATAAGCTGCCAAATCTAGGAATATGAATACCAAGCAGAGTGCAACTTCTGTATATTCTGTTTTGTTATATGATAACCATACCAAGGATACTAACTTCAAGATCTTTTTACTTCAATAATTGATTTCTACCATTATAGGATAACTTCTGGTAATTATCATGCTTCAACCAAATGATCATTACATCACAACACCTTTTCTGGAGATTACAATTTTAACACCTACTAGATTAGCATGTGAAACAATTTTGCATAAGAAACAGCACATAACAAATTATGGTATTAGATACCATATAGGTTTTATTCAATTACCTTCACCTGGGATTGAATTGGTATTTTGTGATCTAACCTGTGAAGTATTAACTACTACACTATAGATCCACAGATCCTAAAAATATTATTTTTATTTATATAAATTTTATAATTTAATTAACTTAATTTTGATTTAAATAATTTATATTATTGTAGTTTCAGTTATATTTTTTCTTTTTTTTCTTTTACTTTTTATTTTATTTTTATATTTTATCAAATTTTCTGAGTAAATAAATATAACCATATATTTAAAATATACAATATTTTTTATTTTTTATTTTAATTAGATATAGGCTTTGAAAAGTACCAAACTGGTATCAAACTGATATCAAAATGGTACTGATCTATAGTAAATTTAATATATGAGTTGTGACCTACTCATATGAATTTATAATAAATTTAAATATCAGATTGATATTAAAATGGTATTGAAGTGATATCATTAAAAGCCCTAACTAGGTATAGATAACATAGGCAAACTAGCATTAAACTTGCTACTATTGCATATAAAAGATATTGTTTCTTTTACAATATATACTTTTAAATATACATACCTAATAAAGAAATGATATTTACGTATCAGAATATATATATATATATATTCGACATAATTAAATATAATACATTTAATGTATAATTTTGTATATTTTTTTGAATTAAATTTTAATGTTGATAATAATTTTAATAAATAAATAAATAAATTCTTTTTTAAAACTTATTAACTTTTATTTTAATGAATTTATTAAGATTATAATTTTATTTAGGCAAAGATATAATAGTAGTAATTGCATATTTCGTATATAGGTTAAAATTCTTTATGATATTTTCCGGTAGACCCAAATCCACCACTTCCACGATCGGTTTCATCTAAACTCTAGATGATCAACAAAGAATAAGCAAACTGCATATTAATATCAAAGCACAATTTTTTTTTACATTTTTTTACCTCAACCTCGATGACACATGGATTGTATATCCGTTCAAGAATCAGTTGGGCAATACGCTCTCCTTCACTAACTATATAATCCAGGGTTAAAACAAAATAGATTAAACACAATAACCCAATAGTTAAATTTCTACATATATGTTAAAATAAATACATGCCGTGATAATCAACATCATTAAAATTAAACATGAGTACACCAAGCGGCCCGCGATAATCAGCATCAACGACACCGGCACCACAGTCAAGGAAATGTTTTGAAGCTTTTTTACGTTTAAAATTGAATATAAATTAATGTATACTTAATACACTCTGGCACTAATGAGGTTTAACTGAATCTGACAGCGTTTGTGCATACCAAGTCCACTTCTTGGAGCAACCCGTCCGTAAGTTCCTAGAGGAACTGCAATAGATATATCTGTAGGAACAACAGCTTTTCCCTTAGCCGGAATAACTATATTTGCTGCACTTTTATTTATTAGAGAAAACGAAACAAAGTTAGAAAATAAGACATTTTCAAAAAATGTATTAAAAAAAGAAAGCAACCTATACAAATCATAGCCTGCTGCCAACTTAGAACCACGAACTGGTAGTTTAGCTTTATTGCTAAGACGTTTGACGCGTAACTCCATAGACGAGTCAGTAAAGGAAGTGCAGCACTTATTGTTATCTATTTCACGTATTTCGACGGTCGACATTTTTTTTAAAAAAGACGCGTTTTGATAGTCTTGATAGCTAACCAGTTATGTGGAGTAATTATTTATATACAGTCACATCGTACAGTCACGACAAAAGTGTTGCACGGTTGGTAAACAATGCAATATTAATAATTAAATCACTATTTGCTATTTATTTTACTGATTGTTATTTTTAATTAT